ACAAGTACATACAACACCTACAAGAAACTGTAGAAGGTATGCCATGCATAATAATCCATCTATGGGTGATGATAAAAACATGCAATAGGTGCAAACACCTACAGGTTATTGTAGGAGATCCGTTGCACCCAATACATACTGTTGATCAACAAGTGCATGGAAATCGACAATAAATACATGTCACTGGTGATCAAAAGTAACATGCAAATGCGTGTACTGGATGAGCACCTACAGTAGTGATGATTGAGATGCTACGAGCACGTTGGGTATAAAGACAACTCGATGCACGGAGGAAGTCTGTTGATACGTCATCAAAAAGAGATTTCAATAACGATTACCATCTCTACAGGAATACTAAAGACTTCCAACAATTGCAAGTGTTTGCAAGCTATTGCAAGGAACTCGTTGGCCTACTAACAGCAGAAGGCCCTAGCTATGACACTATAATATGAAGTCAAATGATTTTTTGAATAATTCTGTAAAGTCAAAGAATGAGCATGTGAAGAAAAAAATGATGAAGAATGTTATCTCATTTTATCATCTCTGCAAAAATGTTGGGGCTCCCGAAAACTATGCCACGCCATTCAAGAGAAGACATGAAGATCAAGTCCCTCAACTCAATGTCCTACCCTCGTGACGAGTCGAAGATAAGGCAATATAACGATGTACTAACCGAGCCTTTAGTCTAATTAGCTTGTGATACATCATCTATCACAAAACGACCTCATGTCGTTTAGATGTGTTTATCCAATCTGAACAAAGGTCAGTTGATTCATAGATCTGATCTCTTAAAGATTGAGAAAAAGGAGGCCTACATCCGAATAATGAGGTATCTTATGGCAGTCGAATAACAACGCTACGATTCACCTATAAGAAAAGACAAGAAATTAGAAGTAAAAATCATGGGCCATTAAAGTGCAATGCCACGCCACTAGATCTGCAACCTTCGTACAAGCAGACAGAAGCCATCAACAAAACCCGAAATAAACCCCACACATTTAGCAGCAATAGTCACCTACTCACATATGAGTCGAACACCCCTTTGCATTGCATGCAAATATCTTAAAATGCCCCTTATACGTGCATCTGTAGGATGTCGATGATTTCATTCTAGCGTGTCGCACTGACATTGTTACTGCAATCCAAAAATACCTTCGCATGTATTTACAATAAGCAAAGGATTTTACTCTAGTGTGTCATGTGACACTATAATTATATTTCAAAAATCATATCATACACACACATGAATGCATCATATGAAACACATTCAATGGCATATACCCATGTAGGCCTTGGCGAGCGTACTGTAGGTACACATGTGATGCCTAAGAATGCTGCGAGAATTAAAAATGAATTTAGATACAAACCCGATTCTCTGTCGAAGATACAAACCCGATTCTCTGTCGACAAGTAAACAGAATTGACAATATTCAATGAACAAAAGCGTAACAACCTATGAACTCCCTGATGATGGCTATATTGAATGTAAATCTCAACCGAAGGGGATTATATATTTTCGAATACCCTCAAACTTCCACAAAACACTAATATTTTCAACTGACTACAATGAAAACCTAATGATGGGTGTGTTGAATGTTTATCTCAACCGGAGCGAATCATATATTATCAAATCCCTTAAACTTTCAAAAAATACAAATGTTTTCAAATAATCTCAAAGCCTATACACCCCGATGATGGACGTGTTGAATGTTTATCTCAACCAGAGGGGATCATATATTTTTAAATACCCTCAAACTTCCACAAAATACAAATACTTTCAAATGACCCCATATACCCCAATGATGGCCGTGTTGACAGTAAATCTAATCCGGAGGGGACCACAAACATCACAAGCATTTAAAATGTTGCCCAAATGCCCATAAAATTTAAAATTGAGAGAAAATGCCAAATCTTGAAATATTTAAAATAGAAAAATTCAATCATCAAACACTTAAAACATAAAAAACACATCCATCCTTCGCAATAGTTTGTTTGGGTAGATAAATTGAAAACTACTTCAGCTCACAAACAGCTAATGTCTAATCAAGAATATCATTAGAATTAATTCTCAATCTTTCTTGTCAGTAAAGACGTGGTACGTGTCATCTAACATGTGGTTTTGCCGTCAAATTGTACCACAATGTGGATTTCACAGTTAAATGGCACCACATATAAAGGGTTATGACCGGGACCCCTGAACCGAGTGGTTCGCCGCAAAATGGAACTATTATATTACGATCATGGTCAGAGCCCGTATGCTCCCAATGGCATTAAATCATTGATATGTGAATAATTAGGATATAATCAATAGGGCACAAAGCCCTCTATTAGCTAAGATAGATTCAAATTTATCCCCTTGACAAACATCCGCCCCAAGTCTAAAAGATACCCTTAAACAACGCAAATCATGGTTGCTAACAAGGATCCTTCTGTTAGGTTGGGACGACTACCTCCTCTGACTAAGTAGACCAGTGACCACAATGGCCCGGGAAGACGGAACCATGGGATCTTGATCGAGCTCATCAACACTCTCCCTACCATTCTCTTTAAGTACAAGATGGTGATATTTTTAATTTTAAATATCAAATCTTCCAACACCTAAACCAATGTTGTTACAATATGTTAGATATCACGTATCTATAAGTACGACGTATTCATTGATGACTAGCCTTAATCGAAAGTTCTCTCTCATTATCGAGAGGGGCTCCGAATATGTCTTCCGAAACTTAATCTGTTCAAAACTCCCCGATAGCAAAAAGTGAAAGAAGCAGGCAGCAAGGAGGCCGGGCGCAATTTTTTGGAGCCCACAGATCGGTGTTTGGCAACACCACAGCTATGGTTTTCAATCCCACCATGCCAAGAAAGACGTGCATGGATCTTTAGGGGTAACTGTGTGAAATTCACAGTTTTTCCTTGAAAGCATAGAAGCTCATACACGGGTACTTAGGTTATACCCGCTACGCTAAAAATAATGTGCACAAGTCTCACCTGCCTCGCCGCAAGCACCACAACGAGTTTCCTCCCATCGTGCTGAGAAAAACGTGCATAGGTGGTTGCTCTCCACACTGTAAGCGATGAAAATAGGGTTTTGAGAGCTTTAGTGAGTTTGAAATTCAGTATATCTTGACGAGCGAGGCGACGGCGACGACTGTTTCGATATCAACAACGAAATTGCTCACAAAAATTGAGGCACGCTCAAAACTCTCTGCTAAAGCGAAACAAATGGAGAGTGGGGTGGTTGTTGGAGTGTAGGGAGGTGGTGGACTATTTGGAGATTTTTTTAGAAGGATTTGGGGGGTTTTTTGGGTTGATAGTAGGTTGTTTTGGGTTGGGTTTGTAAGATAGATGGCTAGGAGGAAGTGGAGGAGCATAAGGTTGATGTTGTTATGGAAGAGGTTGTAGTTGTTTGTTGTAGATAAGAGTAATGGGTAGAGGTGGGAGGGAAAGGATCGAGTGGAAATGAAGGCAGTGAGGAAGTACAATGGAGAGGGGTTTGGAATGGAGCAAAGGGTATTGCGGTTAGATTGGAGACTTGAGGAGGTGTTCGAACAATAACAGGATTTGGCGGTTGTAACAGATCGAGAGAGATATTATTGAGATCAGCTAAAATAGGGAAGAGGTGGAGAGGAAGGCTAGGACTTGCGGCTTGTGGGGAGGAGTGGTCTGGGGGGTTCCGTTCAGTTAACAGGTGGTTGAGGGAATTCGGATAGGTAGAAGGAATCTGGTTGCCTACGGCTAGAATAAAGATGGATCGGAAGACGTGTCCGTAGATGGGTCAGGTGAGGGTAATCGATGATTGGAAGGCCGGTGTTGGTCCATTCGGCTGGAGCAGAGAGCTTGATTGGCTCGGGTAGCTGGGAGAAACAGTACAACATGAAGGTTCGGTCGATCAGGGGATCAGCATAGTGCGTGCAGACTGGAGAGGCGATGGCGTCTGCAGGATGGGATTGGTCGGCCTGGGTGTGGAGAGTGGAGATCGGTCTGTCGGTCGACTATGGGTGTGATGCAGTTGGGCCGTGAGGCGATTCTGGAGTTGTGTAGAGAGGAATTCAGGGATTTGCCCGTGTGAGTGAATCGAGAGGAAGTATACATGGGATTTGAGTGTGGCCTGTTCGAAACGGTGCTGAATTGCACAACTCCGAGATTTGAGTGGAGACTTAGCTTAAAAAGGTATGAATTGCTCCCTCACATAATCTCTCATTTTGTATGCATCTTAATTTGCGAGCGTCATCTTGAAATTTATGTCATTGTTGCCTCAAAACTCAATAAATTATAAATTTACGCTCTTGCAGAGAACCAAAGCAATATTACAGTCGTTCTTAGGTATTTTCGACCTTCCGGATGCAACAACGAAGTCCGTTTTACGAACGAACGTCGTTTGGGTAACATCACACATCATTATATTCGTATACTGTTGATTTCGCTCATTGTTGCTTGATTCAATCGCGAGGGGCCCCTGCTTGGGTAAACTCAATGCTCTAATTGCATCGACACGATCCATTTGGCGATTGGAAGCCGTTCGCGCACTTAAGTGAAGCGTCAGGCCGGTCAAAAGTCAAGTTTGTTGATTGTCACTTCCGTTGTGTTGATTTGGTGTTTATATGGAGGTCAACAAAAAACTCACATCAATTCCTTCAAAACATCAAGTTAATTTTCCTTGCATATATTTATGAAGGGAGGGGGGGGCATATTTCCCAAAGGAAACAACATCTCTTCCATAAGGAAATGACATAATGTAATAATTGTGTGCTTTCTATCTTTCGAAGTTGAAGAGATAGCAAGTCAGGTTTTGGAAAAATATAACAAATGAACTTAAATGGATAATATAAAATGTGGTAAAGCAAGTTAAAAGCAGTGTTAACTGTAGTCTTTTTTTCCTAACTCGCCTAAAATAATAGACCATTCAGGTAAGAAAATTATAATTTTAGGATTATATGCAAATAAATTCCCTAAAATGAAGAAAAAAGAAGACATAATTTCCCATAAATAAGACATACTACCTGATAGCATAAGCTTTTACCTCCACCAGTGGGCATAAGAACAAAACAATCCTTGTTTTCCATTGCTGCTTTACAGGCTTGATACTGCAAAGGTCGAAAAGTTCTGTTGCCAAAAACAACTACGTTAGCCAATCCAATTTGATCCATTGCCTTCAGTTCTTCAAACGTCAAAGATGCGTTAGTCTGTTCATCCTTGCTAACATATGCTGATGCGGCTTCACTCTTCTGATTTTTGTGTCCGGCCTTTATACAGTTAAATTAATATTTTATTATGAAGAAATAACTGGCAACTATTTAAGAAATCAGCAACTAGTTGCAATACAGTCCCGTTTCGTCACAGGAAAGTAATATACAGGATTCCAATAAAAAATGCCTAGTTCTTCAAGTAAAAAAAAATGAAATTGAGCTTCCTACTCAAGTATAATATAACATTTTACAGAAGAATGCCAAAACACAACATAAAGTTTGGAAAACCTGTGCAGCTTGCACAAAACAATTACGTAAATGTTAAAAACTTCATTTTTATACCAAGTGAAAAAAATAAAATTTTAAAAGTTAATGAACAGATTTCAAACAAGGCCAATGAAATCAACAAAATAGAAACAGACCATATTCCTAGAAATTGTGCACATTAAGCAACAACTCACAGATTGTGATAGCTCCAGCAGAGCCATATGAAATTATGCAACAACACAACAACAACATCAAGCCTTTATCCCACTACGTGGGGTCGGCTACATGAATCCTTTTTCTCCATTGTGTCCTATTAAAAGTCAAATTCTCGTTTAAATCTAATAAAGAAAGGTCATTCCTAATATTTTCTAACCAAGTCTTTTTAGGTCTACCCCTACCTTTCTTAACATAAGTCAAATCTAAAACCTCTACTCTCCTAACCGGGTCATCACAAGGCCGCCGTTTTATGTGACCAAAACCATCTAAGGCGACTTTCTCTAATCTTATCTTCTACTGGAGCTACTCCAACCTTTTCGCGTATATGCTCATTTCGTATCCTATCTCTAAGGGTAAAGCCACTCAACCACCTGAGCATTTTCATCTCTGTCAAACTTAACTTAGTATTATGCTTCTCTTTTAAAGGCCAACATTCGGCACCATAAAGCATTGCAGGCCTCACTACCATCTTATAGAATTTTCCCTTAAGCTTGAGGGGTACATTTTTATCACATAACAAGCCCCTTGTGTTTGAACACATGTAATAAGTCCTGCATACATATCTTTAATGATTTGAATATAAGCATTATTGACTCCTTTCTTTTCAAGAACTCTCCATAGCACTTCTCTTGGAACTTTATCATATGCTTTTTCTAAATCAATAAATATCATATGTAGATCCTCCTTATTTTCTCTATATTTCTCCATCAAACCTCTTAATAAATGTATGGCTTCCATAGTCGACCTACCCGGCATGAATCCAAATTGATTTTGAGAAACATTAGTATCACGCCGCAACCTATGCTCCATAACTCGCTCCCATAGTTTTAAAGTATGACACATTAACTTAATACCTCTATAATTCGCACAATCTTGTGCATCACCTTTATTCTTAAAAATAGGAATTAACATACTCATTCTCCACTCATCTGGCATCTTTTTAGTCTTCAAAATAGTATTAAAAAGTTTAGTAAGCCATGAAATTCCTTCATCTCCTAAGCATTTCCACACCTCTATTGGGATATCATCAGGTCCAACAGTTTTTCCACCCTTCATTTTCTTTAAAGCCTCTCTAACTTCAGTTTTACTAATACGCCGATAAAAACATAAATCTTTATTTTCATCTAGGGTGCTAAGGTCACTATAGTCAATCTTATTTTCACAATCTTCATTAAAAAGTTTAGCAAAATATCTCATCCATCTTTGTTGAATATCATCTTCTAAGAAAAGTATTTTTTGATCTTCATCTTTAATACACTTCACTTGAACTAAATCCTTACTACTCCTATCTCTTTGTTTGGCTAACTTATACATATATCTTTCTCCCTCTTTAGTATCTAATCTATTATATAAATCACTAAAAGCTAATGCCTTTGCATCGCATATTGCTTTCTTAGCATCCTTACGAGCCACTTTATATATTTCCCAATTATCAGAATTTTTAAAATTAAACCAGTTTTTATAACAAAGCTTCTTATTTTTAATTTTTTCTTGCACATTAGGATTCCACCACCAACTATTTTTACTATTGGGAGCTTTTCCCTTTGATACTCCAAGGACATCTTTTGCAATATTCTTAATATCACTAGCCACTTTTTCCCACATAATATTAGCATCCTCATGCACAGACAAAATCTTAAGATCTAAAATCTTATTTCCAAAAATATTTTTGTTAATATTCTTTAAATGCCCCCATTTAATCCTAGAAAATTGTTTTACTTTATTTTTTATTTTATGCCCCTTTATCTTAAAGTCCAAAACTAATAATTGATGTTGGGTACATAAATTTTCACTCGGAATAACTTTACAATCTTTGCAATCTAAACGATTTAATTTTCTAATAAGAAAATAGTCAATCTGGGTTGTACTATATCCATTTTTATAAGTGATGAGATGCTCATTCCTTTTCTTAAATAAGGTATTAGCAATTAAAAAATTATAAGCTAAACAAAAATCCAATATGGTCTTGCCGCCTTCATTCGTCGTTCCAAATCCATGGCCATCATGAATGCTTTTAAAATCATCTACCTCTCTACCAACATGTCCATTTAAATATCCTCCAATAAAAACTCTTTCTTCAAGAGGTATATTTTGTATTAATTCTTCTAAGTCATTCCAAAAATTTAATTTAGAACTCATATCCAAACCTACTTGAGGAGCATAAGCACTTATAATATTAACAATCTTATCATCAACAACAATCTTTAAAGCTATAATTCTATCTCCAATCCTATTAATTTTTATAACATTATCCTTTAAACTCTTATCTATAATAACACTTACACCATTTCTAGTACTACTCCTACCCGAATACCAAAGTTTAAATCCTAAACTATCAATTTCCTTAGCCTTATCTCCAACCCATTTAGTTTCCTGAATGCACAAAATATTTAACTTCCTATGAATCATAATATCTATTAATTCCATTAACTTTCCTGTAAGGGAACCTATTTTTCAAGTTCCTATCCTAATTTTAGTTTCATGGACTAGCTTCTTTGCCCACATCCATCCTTGATGTGGGAACCCTTGCCTATTTAACACTGTACCCGGGCGCCGGTGCAGCGGCCCTTGCACACTTGTTATGAAATTATAGAAGGACTAAAATACATTTTAGGATATTGCTAAAAACTTCAAGCAAAAAATTAAAGAAAAATGAGAGAATAATCATACCAAAGATCTCAAACACATCACATATAGGTTCGCATAGTTTGGAGAGATTCACCTACTAGTTGCACACATTAAATAACAGACCCATTTAGGACATTCATATTGTTAAAAAGAGCCACTATTTTCAATAATTAAAAAAATTTTGACTCCACACTTAACAATAGAAGCATTGGTTATAGATAAAAATATGTATATTACCTTAATTAGTTTTGCTTTATCAGTTAGTGGGCTGACCATTGGTGTGCCATTCTCCACAGAGTTGTAAAGTTACAAGAGATCCACTTGAACATGAGTGACAATAGGTTTCAAAAGCCAGTTTATACACTGATGTACAATAGTACTAAGATATGCACTGAGAAGCACATAAAGAAACTCTAGAGATAGGATAGCATTCACTTGATGAAAGATTAAAAGTTCAAAACCATAGGGAAGCATGGGTTTAGGAAGTTGGGCTTTATAACATAATGCATGCATGGGTATAGAGCAAACATAAAGATGCATGGGGGGAAGTGTTTAACAATTTAAACTACACTGCATTTCAAGGGATTAAATTTCCCTCGCTCTAACATTTAGTAAATGCGATGACACCTTTAACACTTTAAACGCACAAGACATGAGAGAAGACATAATACTTGTCATTGAAGTCTTTGTTGCAAACACCAGACATGTACTCCTAGCTGTAGTTATGCCGTTATGGTGACAATCACCAGTCCAGGAACCCAATTCAGGCACCCTGACCGAGAACGAGATCAAAAGGATATGGCATTGTGAAAAGAAAAAAATGGTGAACCAACATAACAAAATAAGCAAATGTGTAATTGGCTCCTTTTGTAAATAAACAAAATGATTCCTAGACTATTTAGGTAATATCTATTTTAGTCCAAAACTTATCTAATTTAGTAATACAATTTGTGAAATCCTACTTTATTTGGCCCTTCAGTCACGTACCTTGGGAACTGACAGAAATCAAACATGAGAAGCAAGAGCTGAGACTAATTTTGATCATTCAAGCAAAGAAATACTATAGAGATCCTCTACAATGACTTTAGAAATAAGAAACCTCTATAGGTGCAAGGGAACAAACAAGAGAGCCTCCTTGAGAACCGAACTGTACTGATTACATAGTCAGATCTTTTACAATGAAAAGTGTCAAGAGTCCTCTACAGTGACATGCCAGCAATCTTCTTCAGCGATGATAACCCAATAAACCCTTTTTGAAATAGGGCAAGCAAGGACGTATCCCATTAGATCAATCACAAAGGCAAAATTTCATGAAAATTAATTATAATTTTTTTATTATTTTTCTTCGAAATTTAAGTCACCGGCTATATGAGGTTTGGAATTAATTTTATAAAAGTTAAACCTTTTTTGGAAGCTCACCAATCAACACAAACTGAAGAATCTCAATGGCAATAAAAAAAAAGTATTGACTCATTCATATTTAGAGTTGTTTACTTAGTTTTTAAAATAGGCATTAATGAGGGGACTGCCAAAACAGTCCTTAAACACATTTTTCTAGAGAGGTTTTGCTGTATTTCCTTATGTGTTTCCCTCCTTGTCTACAACACTTCATGTATTATTTATACCCATTTCCCTTTCCAATATCACCCCTCTTCTCTCCAAATCAGCACATCTTCATTCTTGTCCTACCTCCTCACGCCTCTCCTCATACCCTCTGCCCGGCTCCTCCCTAGGAATAGACTCTAGGAGAGGTAATCTCTCTTCCCCCTTTCGAGTCACCACCTCCTGATCTCCCCCTTGCCGGATTGCCTTAGGGTTTTTCCCATCTCCCTGACTGTCGGCGCCTTCCTTCCCCTCCGACGGTGATATTTTGGTTTGGCCCTTGAGCACTTTCTTCAGCATCTCCTCTAGGATAGAAAATTTCGAATCGAACTTATCATGGATGG